GGGACCTCCGACCCCCGTCCTGCCCTGGGGCTCACCTCTCCTCCACACTGGCCCCTTGCCGCAGCAGCTGTGTTATCAGGCCCAGGTGACCCCTCCACACGGCCTGCAGCAGGTGCCCCCGGAAATGTGGGGCGACTGGCCCCTCTGTCCCTGCTCCTGGGGCCTCCTCGGAGCCCAGCTCCATCCACCTGAGCTCCTGCTCCGCCCCTGCCTCTGCTGGGTCCTGCTTCCCCGGCTCTGAGCCCCCAGAGTCCATCTGGAAAAAACAGGAATCCCACATGGATGCTAGGGGCCCCTGACCAACAGGGACCCCCCCCCAGGAACCAGACTGCCACCTAGGCTTGGCTCTCAGGTACCCCCAGAGGGAGCCCGCCCAAGGACAGTGTCCTGTGGCTGGGAGTCCTCTCCAGGCAGACCCTGGCCCATCCACAGCCAGGGGGCACTCACTCTCAAGAAACTCCTGAAGGTGTGGAGTAGGGGTGTCTGCTGGGAGTGGCGGGCTGGAAGGCTAGAGCTGCAGTGGCCCCTGTGCCTCCTGGGGCCAGGCTAAGGGCCATGTCCCCCACTGTTTACCCAGCAACCGGAGAGGCCCTGCATGTCGGCCACAGCCCCTGCCCTGGCACCTGTCCGCCCCTGCCAACTGCCAGAGCCTTGGGGCTTGGCCGCCCTCCCAGGATAGAAAGGCCAGGCAAGCAGGAGCATGCCCGTGGACTGCAGCGCCTCCAAGGCGCACAGCCTCAGACCGCCCAACTCGCCGCCTCCTTAGGCACACACCTGCCTTCCCGTGAGCCTCTCCTCAGGCCCTGCCCCTCACCCCCACTGCAGATGGGTCACCTGGATTCTGGGGCTGTGGGGCAGAGTGGGCTCGGGTGAGGGCCTGGCCCTGCCTTCCCATCTCCCAGTCCCTGGGGAAAGCCACCTGTCTAGAACCCTGGCGGAAGAAGGAAGTGTGGCTGGTCGAGCCGCCTAGCCCCTTTGGCTGCCGCTTGTGACTGTCCACCAGGAGGCAGCACAGCTTTGGAGCTGTCGCTACCACTCCAGACCCCTCCAGCCCCCACCCTTGGCGCCCAGGGATGAGGGGTCCTGAGGGTCCCGCCCTGCTCTGCCCTCCCTGCCGGGGGCAACACAGCCTTGGCCCCTCTCCAGCCTTAGCAGCAGCCCTTCCGGGTGCCAGGTCCAAAGAATGGGTCTCCAGGCAAGGGGCCGAGGGGCCTGTCCCACCACTGAGCCACAGGGACCCGGCCCCATAAGCCTCAGTCACTCAGCTCAGACGTCACCTCCCCAGAGGGGCCTTCCAGTTTGATCACCAATCTGAACCAACCTTGTCCCCGCCCGTTTTATTTTCTTCTTAGCACTTATCACTCCAGGAAGGTGTCTATTTTATTTCAAATGTCTGCCTTTGTCTTCTGGAATGAGGCGCCATGAGGGCATGTCACACAGGCTGGCAGATTCGGCCGGTAACAGGCTAGCACTCTGGGTGGGTTCAGACACTTTACTGCTCAAGTAGCCAGGAAAAGCGAGGGCAGCAAAGGTGTCAGCTCCCTGTGTCCCCCATCCTGCAGGATGACACTGAAGAGCGGGGCAGACGACAGGTGGCATGGGGCACAGGGGCACCCCGTGGCTGAGGGGCCACCTCTACGCTGCAGCTGCATCCTGGGGGCCCTGGCGGAAAGTCTCATACCCCACCAGAGCCAGCGAAGCCCAGGAACTGCCCCCTGACAGCCTTCCCGAGGGCGGAAGGCCGTGGGAACCAGCCGCGTGCCAATTTTCCCCGTTGTCCCAAGGCCTGAGGCGTCGCAGCTTGCCCCCTGGCTTCTGAGGCTCTATGCCAGGCTGTCGGAACCCGCTCAGAGCCGCCCCCTGCAGGCCAGAGGCCTCTGTTGGCCTCACTCCCCACCAAGTGCACAGAGCTTAGAGCCCAGCCTGGCACTCAGTGGGAGCTCTTGAGTGTTGAATGAGCCACCTGCGGAGGGGGTGGGCTTAGAAAGGAGGTAAGACAGGCATCCCCGCCGTCTGAACTTTCTCCAAATGTTACTGTTCGCAACATCGGTTGCCCCAAATCCACGCTCTGAATAAATAAACTGCTGCTATAAGATCTTGGCAAGAGTGTGGCAGTGAAACAGTTGAGTAGCGTATGTGTCTGGCGACAGGGCGCAGCGTGAGCTGCAGGGAGCCTCAGCTATTGTCCTGACCGGGGGCCTGTCTCAGGCTCGTGTTCCTTAAAGGAGCCCTGCTATCTCTGTCATCGGCCCCCCTTCGTACGTGTTGGAAGGGGGGCGGTGAGCCTGAGAGGCCTGGACCATGTCAGAAGAAAAAGTTGGAGGGGACAGGTGACTGCAAAGAAGGTGTGAAAGGAAGACGCTGGTATCCGACTCTGCATGGCCTTCTCCACAGACGACCTTCTCGTGAGTTTGTGCGTCAACTCGTTACGTAAGGGGTATTTTCAATGCTATGCATTATGCAGGGAAACGCTGGGGGTCTCCGTGTCAAGAGTCCTTTAGTGATATTTGGGGAAATTAGTTGGGGTTTTCAGAGGGACGGGGAATCATTTCCCCCGCCCCCTGAAATAGCGGAATCCGAGCTCCCACTGTTTTCAGGACGGATTGATTTCTGACACGAAGGGCGCTGCCCTGGCAGCTGCTGTTGCTGAGTGCCTACTGTGTGCTGGGTCCCACGCTGGGTGTTTCACACGCATTGCCCTCGTGCCCTCTCAGCAACCCTAGGATGTAGGCACCCAGCGTCTTCCCTGTTTTTTTTTATTTATTTTATTTTTTTTATACTTGGTCTTCCTAGGTGGTCTCCCATCCAAGTACTAACAAGGCCCGACCCTGCTTAGCTTCCGAGATCAGACGAGGTCAGGCCCGTTCAGGGGGGCATGGCCGTAGACTTTCCTGTTTTTTCCAGGCTGAGAGGGGCCAGGTTTGGCGATGAGGGGACCAGCAGGAGCTAGGGCTGGGAAGTGGGGTGGGTGGTGACCGCTAACTGACAGCTACTGATGTGGCAGTTGTCAGAGTCAAGACCTATGAAATGAATTCATTGTGTGGGGGAGAGGGCGGGACCAGGAGGGAGGAGAGCCCAGTGCCAGGCCTTAGGGACAGCTGTGCAAGCCCTGACCAGCGCACACAGAGCTGGCTAGGGAGACCGGCCAGGGCCAGAGCTGTGGTCGCCTGGCAGAGAGAGGTCCAGCCTGGTAGTGGGGTAACTGAGGCAGGGGCGTGGTCCTGGAGACCGATGGTCAGGACTGGACCTACCTCGGCCAGGGTCCTGCCCTCCAGCTGGGTCCATTACGTGACTGCTGGGGAACGAGCCGGGATCTGACCTAAGGACCTGGGGCTGACCCTGGCGGCCTCAGGCCTGTCGTCTGACTACCGCTGGGAGCCTACCAGGCCCACTGCCTGCGAGAGCATGAGTGAGCAGGGAAGGGAGACAGAGGAGGACGAAGGAGGGGGTGTTTCGGACACAGCACCCATGCTGCCCCAAAGGCTTCCTGACCGCCAGGCGTCGGCCCCGATAGCAGGGTGGGCAGGCCTGGCTGCCCGAGGCCTTGGGCCCCCGCTGCTGCCCAGCCGGGTCCTGGCAGGCCTCCTGCTCCTCCTGCTGCCTGCGGCCGCGTTCCTGCTGGTACTGCTGCCGGCAGCCGCCCCCGTCTACCTGGGATTCCTGTGCCACTCAAAGGTGAGCTGAGCCCAACGTGGGTAGGTGCCCTGGCCGGGGTCCCTGGGGAGTGGGGTCCTGTGGAAGTTCAGGGCCCTGGGCCTGAGGTGAATCTGCCCTCCTCTGGCATGGCCCCCTGGTCCCCAGAGACACATGTGCCCTCGCCAAGAGCCCTTCTCTGCCAAACCCTCCCCCACTGGCTGCAGCAAAAGAAGGGCTTTTGTTAACCACTGGGGGACAGCTCTCTACCCTCCCCTGAGGCTTCCCAGCCTTGTACCAGGCAGAGGCCACCGGGGCCTGGACAGCTGGGCAGGGTGGAAGGAGGAGAAGATGAGGATATTGTCCAATTTCACCATTCCACAGCCCCTCCAGCCCTCGCGCCTTTATACATTGCTTGCCACCCACCCCTCCTGCCCTGGGCTGGGTTTCTCCATGTGGAATGGGCTTGGTCTGGGGCAGGGAAGGCGTAGGCAGATGGGCCCCGTGTCCCCTTTCTGTAGGCATAAGGCAGTGGGGGGGATTCAGCACGGGGCCACGGAAGAGAAGGTGACGCCAGCTGGTGATACCCACAGGTCGGGGCTTAGGTCAGATGCCAGCATAGGGAAGCGGGAATCGCGCAAGGGGGGACGGGGCGGAGGGGTGGGAATTCTGAGCCTCCCTTCAAGGGCTCCTGCTCTGGGCATTTACCGCTTGGGTCCGCGTCCCCCATTCTTGGCTCAGAAATTCCAGACCCACATGGGCCCCAAGCCTCCCAGCTCCGCCAGACCTCAGGCCCCGCCCCCTCCACGCCTAGCCCCTGGCAGTCCGTTGCCAGGCCCCGCCTCGTCCCAGGCCACTTGCTTCCAGGCCCCGCCCCAACTGATTGCCCACTCCACCCCAGTTCTCCCGCTCACTGTCCCCCCTCCTCCCGGCCCACCCCGGTCCCCCTGCCCCTGGCCGCCCAGGCTCCGCCCCTCCTGAAGCCCGCCCCGCCTCCAGGTGCACCCGGCGCCCCGCCCCGCGTGCCACGCGCTGCTCTCGGACCGCAGCTCTGCGACGCTCGTGGTGTTGGGCTTCCTCTCGCTGCCTCCGTTGTTGGTACTCGCCTCGGCCGCCCGCGCCCGCCTGGCCCGACGCCTCCGCTCGCTGCTGCCGCCCCCCACTTGGACCCCCGGGCCCTGTCACCACCCCGACGGGCAGGAGCAGCTCTGTGCCTGTGTGTGATCCCCAGAGACCCTTCAAAGGACGCGAGACCTCCAATCCAGGGAGGCCCCCGAACAACCCCCGGGATCCCCATAAGGTGGCCCCAGGCCGGCGAGCTCGAGGTCTGCGTTCAGGTCCATCCAGCCGGAGAAATAGCATGTGTGCCTGAGGGCTCGTGCGCAGTGCTCCGAGTGGCCGCGAGATGGCACCGGCCTCCCTCGGACCGGCGTTGGCCCTTCCCCAACTCCACAGGCACCGCTGCTGCAGCCAGGCTGGGAAGCGCCCAGGCGGAGGGATGGCTTTCAGAGAAGGGGCGCCTGGCCGGGCTTAGAAAAGGCGGCCTTCCTGCCTTCCGCTGTGGCTGCCCTGAGCTCCTGCTCCCTCACAAAGGGCCGCCCCAGCGGGCCTCCAGCGAATTCAGAGGTACTGACACCTCCGCACCCCACCTGCGCTCATGTTTCCAGGTCAGCAGTGGCCTCCAGCATCAGGGCTGGCAGGGCTCAGCCTGTGACCAGGGTTAACATTTAGACAGGCACTAGAGTAAGGGTTGTGCGTTCTCTCTAGATAACTTCAAGATCTTCGGTCTTTCTCCTGTGCTTAAGCATGTTTTCAGTTGTGGACGTGTGCTTAACGATCCATTCGCTGCATATACACAGTGTTTCCAGACCCTGGTGACTCACATATTCCATCAGTTCTGGAAGATTCCCAACTATTAGCTCATCAATTCTGCCTCTCAGTCACTGCACCTGTTCTTTCTTGAGGACACCTATTAAATGAATGCTTTACCTTTTCCTTTTCCTTCCACGTCGATTCATCTGTTTTGTTTTCCATCTCGTTGTCTCTCTGTGCTGCATCTGGGCAATTCCTTCATCTCCCTCTTCTAGTTCACTAATTCGTCTGTTGATTAACTCATGGATTTAATTTTAAATTAGTATAGTCTACCTAAACATTATACTTGCTTCTTTTTCAAATCTGATCGTTTTTAATGGTCTCTTGGTAGCATGCTCAATCTTTGGACTCCAGCTTCGATTTTTCGAACATTCCACATAGTTATTTCATATTCTGTACCTAAGAATTCCAACGTTTTAGTCTTTGAGGAGGATCTCTAAATTCGTTGTGTTGTTTCTGCCGATTCTCACTAATAGCATTTCTTTGCATGTTTGCTAATTGTTCGTTGTCAGCCCACACCTGTGAAAATTCTGAGGCTGTGTCCCGCCCAGCGAGGACTGCCTTTGGGAGGCACCGCCAGCCCCGACTGCCCCCTAGGGGCCTGACTTGGTAACTGCAGCGCGGTGCCCACGCTGGCTTCCGGGCCTGTGGTGTGGCTCTCCCGCCCCAGTCCTCTGCTTTCCGTCTGTTTTCGTGCATCATCCTGGGTTTCTGCTCATTATCCTTCTGTTTGTTTACTTACGTTCAGGGTTTAATTTGGGGGGCCCAGAGTCTACTTGTAGCTGAAGGCCTCGTAAAGGATCTGGCCCGGTGGGACTCTGCCTGGGACCAGCAAGGTCAGGGCCCAGGTGTGCACAAAGGTCAGGGCTTAGGGTTCAGGCTATGACCAGGGTCAGGGCTCATTCCATGGCCTTGAGCAGAGCCTGGTGTGTGGCTGGCTGTGGTCCAGCAGGAGTCCGCCTGGTTTTCCAGTAGTCTGTGCCCAGCTCTGATGCCGGTCTCAGTCAGACCACCTGGCCAGTCGCCCAGCTGCAAGGAAAGCTTCCCCGGGGCCAAGGCCAACCCCACGCCGCCACCTGGGGCTGGGCAGGCCCTGGCCAGGCTTGAGGACGAGGACTCTCCTGAGGATCCGCCTGGCCCTGGAGTCATGAAAACAACAGCTGGGCCTGGTAGGGGTGGGGAGCCGAGGTGGGGAGCTCAGCTGCCCCAGCCCAAGGGCTCCTAAGGTGTGTCCCAGCATCCCACAGAAGTCCTGCCTCAGCCTAGCTCTGTCCCTGCTGCTCACAACACCTGTGGGGGCATGTGGGCGGTTCACAGGAGGGGCCTAGGGGTCTGCATGCTGCGGGCTGGGGGCTGGGGGAGGAGGAGGGCCTTGGTCTTTTGTGTCCTAGGTGGTCTTTCTTCTGGACAGGCTCCTGGTAAGGGGGAAGAGGCCTGGACAAGGTGGAGGCAGGGCCCTGGCCCTTCAGCCACAGGCTCTCTGTCCTCAAGGCCTGTCATTCAGACAAACTTTCCCATTTCTATCCTCCCTGGGCTGGATCCCACAAACCTCTGCCCCTAAACCTTTACCCAGCATGGAGCCCACGACGGAAGCCCCTCTTCCTGGGCCTTAACCCCCCAGGCACAGGCCCCAACCTGATGCTTCCCTCCCCAAGAACCCCCTCAACCTCAGCCTGGAATGGCCCACTTGCCACACCCTAAGGACCTCGGAGTGCTGGCCTTGCCCCTTCCGCCCATCCAGGGGCCCAGACTCCTCAGGAAACAGGCGCTGGACTACTGGGTCAGCCAGGCAGAGGCCTCCCCTCGGAGCACCCAGGTGCCCAGGCCCCTGCCCTGTAAGACTGTGCCACCTGTGGCGGCCTTCACACACCTGTGAGTGCACGTGTCTCTGCACGTTTGTGCATTGTGTGTGTGTGTGTGTGTGTGTGTGTGTGTGCAGGTGCGTCCATGTGCTCTGGGGGGCTTCCATGCACCTGTGTGTGCGCATGAGTGCATGTGTGCGCGTTTGTGCATCATGTGCGTGTTTGGGCTTGTGCGTGCATCTTTCCTGTCTGTCTCCCCTCAAGCCCTGGGTGGGGCCTTGTCCCAACTCCACAAGCGTGGAGACTCTGCCAGGTTCCCTGACCTGCCCAGGGTCATTTATTCATTCACAAAGTGTTTCCAGGGAGCTCGAGCATCCGCAGGCACGCCCTCAGACAGCGGTGAGCAGCTAGGAGGAATCAGGGGACTTGGCCAGTTCCATCCCTGGAGCGTGGCCCCACCCAGGCGTGTAGGCCAGGCAAGGGCGCTGGGCAGGAACTGAGCTGGGGTGGGTAGGTTGGGGAGCAAACAGGCAGAACCTGGTGCTGGCTCTGAGGTCCAAAGCCCCTACGCCCCTTGGTCCCACTTCTACCTCTGGGGAGTAGCCACCAAGCTTTCGACACAGGTCTGTCCATCCTCGCTCTCTCTTTCCCCATGCAAGCCTGTCTGGACCCTGACTGGGGCTGGGGTGGGGTGCTACGGTCACCTCCCTGTGACAGAAGGTCCCAGCAGAGGGCACCAAAGCGAGGCGTCCCACCTCGGGAGGACGCCAGTGTCAGTCCTTGCACAGGCTGAAAACCCAGAAGCTTCCCCGGGAACTTTCCCTCGCCTCCCGGCCCTGCATAGCAGGCTCCACCTCTGACAGTGGCTACCAGGCGTGTCCTTGAAGGCCCAGCATCGGCCCCCACTCTTCCCCTTGCCTGCCCCATGGAGGCCCTACAGCCAGTGCCCACCCACCCTTTCTGCCCCTCAGGCCTCTGCCTCCACCCCAGGGGCTTAGCACTTCCCGTATCTCCTGCCCCCTGGCCTGACGCGGCCCCTGCCCTCCGTGGGGAAAATAAGTAGACAAGCACCTTTGCAAGCACACCAATACGCGTCCCCCTTCTCACCTGGCAGAGCTGGGAGGACAGGGGCTCTGCCCAGTGACTGTGTGTCCCCACTACAGAATGGAGCATGTGGCCAGGCCCAGCACAGGGATGATGAATGAATGCAGACAAGGTGGTAGCCACCCAATGCCCAGGCTGCCCACCCCACAAGCTGTCTTCCTTGCCACCCTGGCAGGGCAACTGGGTAAGGGTCAGCTCTGGGGCCACAGGGTGCAGGCCTGGGCCCCTGGGGAGTAGACACAAGGACCTGCAGACCCTCCCCCGGGACCAGTCCTCAGGCCCTGGCAAGTCCCTGACCACAAACAGGCAGGTTGAGTCTAGAAGAATGTGTGGGTGGGGCAGCTGGGTGGGCGGTGGACGGGGCCTCTGGGCCCTGTTGCTCTCAGCTGCCCCCTCCCTCTGTCCCACTTACCGTTGTGGGGTGGAGTAGGGGGCATTGGCTTGCCCCACACCCCTGCCCCAGGCCTGTGGCAGGCAGCCACCCCCTTCCCTGTTTCTGTCCCTCCCCACAATGTCTGCACAGGTACATGTCGAGATACCAGCAATGTGAGAATCAGCAGCACAGGGAATCCCCTGGCCAGAGGCGGGGCCCAGCCCATCTGCCCTTTAGGCCCCGCAAAGGGCCGGAGGCTGGGGTCAGGGGTGAGGTGGGAGGCCCAGGAGCTGCCCTTTTCCCTGCAGTCAACATGACCACAGTGAGCTGGGGACAAAAGGCCCTTATTCTCTTCAGAGGCCTGGAGTGTGCGGGGGAGGGAGAGTGCGAGGCGCGGTGGGGGCAGGGTGGCGCCTGCAGAGAGCAGCGCCCCTGGGTTTCCGGGAACCCCCTCCACCTGCCCCTGGACAGGCAGGCGGAGTGGGCCAACTCTGGGAAGTGATGTGCAGGGGACTCCCAACTGGGCCAAGGCCGTGGGGGGCAGGGCCAGACTGCTCCTTCCTCCTGGTCCCCAGGACGCCAGGACCAGGCTGGGGCTGGGGTGGGGGGAAGCGGGGGAAGGGTGAAGCCTGGGGGCCAGGGCTTGCTCTGTCCTTCTCTGTTCTCCTTCAGAGGGGAGCTTTCCGGGCCATTATGCTTGTGCTTCCTCTGGCGTCTGCCTGGAGCACAGGCCTGGCCCTGACCCCACACCCTGGGGACTCGGTCTGCCATGTCTTCCCCGAGGGTGGCGAAGGACACAGGAGGTGCTGACAGCAGGGTGGTGGGCAGGAGCAGCATCTCGGGAGGCAGGGTGCCTCGGGCCGGGGTAGGTGACAGCCCGGCGTGAGCGGCAGAGGTGGCAGGGCAGAGCTGAGCAGGAACCCCTGGCCAGGGCAGCTGGCGGAACTCGGGCCAAGCCGGGTAGAGGCTCCAGCTGACAACAGAGACTGGGCCCCATCCTGTCCCTTCTCTCTGTGACGGAGAGGCTGGGGCGCTGAGGGCGGCTGCTTCCTTGAGGGCCTGCGTCACAGCCAAGAAGACCCACTCAGTTTTTCCAGAAGGGACGGAAATTTCCCCGTCAACCCAGCAGCACAGGCCTTGGTGTGACTGTGGGCCCGCCCGCAGACAGGAGTGGGGTACGAGCAGGGAAGCCGCTGCCTTGTCGTGGGGGACCCACCATGGCCCAGCTCCTGCCACGGGCCGTGGGTGCCCAGAGGGACGGAGGGTGAACCCAGAGGTGTTCGCACGTGTGTCCGCGGTGGGCCGCCCCGGGCCGGGGCTGTGGCTGCCTGAGGGTGGTCTCCCCTCGCAGCCCCATCTCCTTGGCCGCCTTGGTGCGCCTTTCTTGCTGGGGGGTTGGGGGCCAAGCGGGGTCTCTCTGGGCATACACCCTGGGCTTGGGGTCCAAGCCTCCTGCTCCCCCCACAGGGCTCAGGCGGAAGTGCCAGGCAGGTCCCGGTCCCTGCCGCAGCCTGAGGTCTGTGGAACGGAGCCAGCGCAGCCACTGCCAAGATTCCCGGGGAGGGGCGGGGCGGCGGGGACACGGCTCTCCGCTGGTTCCTGCTTCGGCTCCTCAGGCTCAGCTGAGCCTCTTCCTTTTTTAGGCAAAGTGGAGCTCGGCCTGCCTCACGGCCGCCCAGCCGGTCGGCATCTCACCTGCCAGAAAGGGAGGAAGGAACACCACTGAGTCCCATCCGTCCTCCTCCCAGAGCATCCTCTGGGGAGGGTGGCGAGGGAGGGGACATCCCGGTGGAGATAACCCCCGAGCTGCACAGAGAGGAGTGGCTGGAGAGGGCAGTGGTACCCCACAGGAAAATGTCTTAGGAGTGAGGGGCGAGGCTCTCCTGGACCTCAGCTCCCACCCAGGGGACACTGCCCCGCCCCACCTAAGGGCAGGAAATCTGCCCCTTGGGATGCCCCCTGCATTCCAGCTGCCTCAGGTCTGGCTTAGCCAAGGTCCCAGGACACAGGACCCAGCAGTGAGGCCCCTCTAGAGGAGGCTCAAGGGAGTTGCGGGGGGTCTGTCCGCAGTCCTACTGTTTGACCTCAGCCCAGGCCTGGGCCCCTTGAGCTGGGTATATGGAGACAGCAATAGGCCTACCACGGTCGCCCTGGACAGGGCCTGAACCGGCCATCCCCAGCTCCCATGCCTCTTCCTCCAGGAAGTAAGGTGGGGTGGGAGTTTTATGTTTCCCAAGAAGCCCCCTCTTCAAATGTCTCAGGCTTCTGTCCTACGTCCAATGCCTTGCGTCCTTTCTAAGTTCAGCCCCTCCAATCCCTGTCGGTCAGTCCTTGGGGACACAAGTCCCAGCCCCCGGACACTTCCCCCTCCCCAAGCCCTGTGGTTGAGGCCAGGGCCAGGGTCTAGTTGGTGGTTCGTTGTTCTTATGTCGCCCCCACCCTCTCGCACCCACTGGGTCCTCTTGGGCCGGGCCTCAGGGACTCCCAATCCAGCGGAGACGTGGGCGGTGGACCTGCGGATGACCGGCTTGGTGGCTCCGTGTCTGAGCATGTCGGGGGCAGGGGGCAGGGGGCAGGGCACACCATGCAGCCTCACGGCCGGATGGGGAGACTGCGGTGTCTCTGTGCATACATGGCCACGAGTGTGTGTCGCTTTCGCATCTCGATGAGCACTGTGTGTTGCTGCGCGTCCGGGTGCCTCCACGCGCTCCCCCCCCGCCCCCTCGCCCCCGGAGTCTGCATCTGGGCACGCGGCTCAGTGCGCAAAGCGGGGCGGGGCCTCAC